TAATCACTCAAATTCGCTTGGACAACATTTTGAATCATATTCATATAATGGATTTTTTTAAATCTTACTATATTATTTTATTTTTTACTAATTAAATTTTTTTTATTGTCGTTTCTCTTTACGCGTGTGCTATATTAGAAAGAGACGATATGCAAATATGCATGTGAAAGAAAAGATTTTAGGAGAAATGTAATTTTTTTACCAGGAAAGAAGATTAACAGCTAGAAGTAGCCGTTATTATTATTATTATTATTTTTAAAGAAAGAAAGTTAACAACTATTGAAGATGGTCCAAACAGAATATTATGAAAATGTCTTTTATGTTTTTAGCGAGCCCAAAATATTTTTCAACCTCAATAGTCTACAGTTTTATCAAGATTTCCATAAACGTATACCCATGCGTTATAACGTGGCCAGCGTACCAGAATTATATTGTTCCGTGTCAAGAAGTGCGGGATTTTTATCCGTGCCGGTAAATATCAATAAGTGTTTATAACGGTAAAAAAGAATAAAAGAAAAATGACCGGTTACTTTTTTTTCTCCATATAACTCTTTGGTAAGCAAACACGTTATCGAGAAATTATGTGAAATGTAAATTTTTTTTTATCAACATGTTATAACGATTGCCAACTCTTCAGAATTCTATTGTCATGGAAAAGAATCCGCGTCTTTGGAACATAACGGAACAATAGAATCGTTTGGATCACATAATGAGAGTATACTACCACATAATCAAAAAAATGGCGATTTATATTTGGTCCATATACACATCTCTTGCCTAACCCAACTCACACATTCGTTTTTTTTCCTATAAATCGTTCACACCCACATGAATAGTTTATTCGGGTTTCCAAAAAAAAGGGTCTATTTGTTTGAAAGAAAACCGTTTCCGGAAAATTATTCTCCGACTATTTGGTATTTGGATGACAGAAAACTAATCGATTTAAGGAAAAAGTTTTCCATAGACTAAAAACAAACAAGCTTAGATTGGGAGAAAACAACTTTTCCTTATAGCAAGAAAGAAATCAATCTCCCTAAACTACCAATTAAATGAAAAATAATTATTTTCCTTGCAAATGATTTCCATGAGAAATATTTTATATTATAATGAAATTTTCGATAAAACAAACGTACCCAAAAGTATAGTTTATTCTGTCTGCCTTACGCATACGAATTTCTCATGACAAAGAAGGTGGAGAATATAGATTGATGCTACATTTGTTTTTCGTATTAGCTGATACGGATTACGAAAAGCTATGAGCTATAGTTTCCTTGGTAGAACACTGATTGCGGCAAAAAGAGGTTCCCTCTCTCTCGACCAAAAATAAAAAAAGAGTAAAAAATTCTTATGTGGGCTCTTTCTTTCTTTTTCCTAAATAGATCGAGCACTATATAACCCATACCCTGAGGAAGGCACGGGAGCACCCCCCAATGAGATATTAGGCTTTCCTCACTTCCTTGCGGTGCGTGATTAGGCTTGGCTTAGTTGATTCGAATTCACTATACATTCGAATCTTAGCTTGGTAATGATGGGATGCCGTGCCCTGTTTCGGATGCGTGTACCCCGCCAACTCCTGCTCCTTTAGCATTGGAGGCTGTCTTTTTTTTCCTGGAAGAGCAAAAAGCAGGACACTGTGTCCAAATCCAGTGCAGAGGCAGAATACTGGGTCTCGGAGCACAGGTTTTGTTTTTTCCAATGCTTGAAGTGATTGCATCCTGCGCTGAGCAGAGGCAAACAGACATAACGTAGGCCTTTGTTGATTAGTTTTGTTGGCACACCAAGGGAGCATATTGAAGATTTGCTGGCAAGAAAGGTGGGGGAATAGTGTACAGCTGGAACGAAGTGAACGAAGCGGTGAAGCGGGTGGTAGGGAATGGCAGGCTGGCGAACTTTGGTTAGATCGTCGGATCATGGATAAACCACTTTTGGAATGGAAAACTGTCATTCACGTGGAATTGAGCTAATGGTATGGGGCATGACCGTGTGGGAAATGATTTTTTAAATTGACGTCTCCAATCAGAAGCAAGGAAGACCGGGTCTCTTTTGTTAGGACCAATGGTGGAAACGGGCGATCATAGCCATCTCAGTTGACCGTTCTACAGGAGTTTCGCATCCAAAGCTATTTGACATGCGGAAACTCAAGCTGCAAAATGCAGCTTGATCGTACAACCACGCTTACGCAAGCGGGTTTGAATTCTTAGCGGTTAAAATCGCCTTAGGGCCTTGACTATCGCGCTCGATGGCATAATTACAGTGACATGGTGCTCGAGAAAAATACACGAAATCCTTCTCACCCTTTCGCATTGTCAATACTTTGCATCATTTGATTTTGGAAATACGTCTTTCCATCTTATCCCAAATCTTATCCCTGAAAAGAGGACCACATTAGCCCTATTTGAAAAGTACCAAATTCCTCCAATCTCCGACACGCCCGAATACATGCTCATACACAGACCCTTAATCTCCAGCATTTCAAAATTGCCTTATAGACTTGACTATGGCGCTCGATGGTGTAATTACAATGACATAGAGCTAGAGAAAAATATGCGAAACCCTCCTAACCCTTTCAATTGTCAGCACTTTGCATCATTTGATTTTGGATATATGGTTTTCCATCCTATACCAAATCTTATCCCTGAAAAGACTACCACATTAGCCCTATTTGAAAGGTACCAAATTTCTCTAATCTCCAACATGCCTGAATACGTGCTCTTACACAAACCCTTAATCTCCAACAGTTCAAATGACATAGAGCTCAAGACAAACACACGAAATCCTCCTCACCCTTTCGCATTGTCGGCACTTTGCATCATTTGATTTTGGAAGTGTTGACACCTAAATTTTGTTCAATCATTTAGGGTTTTATCGCATAAAAATAATTATTATTAGGGTTTAATTTTTAACCACTAAACAAAAATATTTTCATTAAATTTCATGGCATATAGACATTAGGCACATTTGCATTAATAGGGCCTATTAGGACACAAAATTTAAAAAAAAAAAAAAAAGATTTCCGGGCCAGGTCAATCGGCCCATTCTTTTTCTTTCCCTTCTTTTTTTTTTTTCGCGCGACCCATCTTTGTGTTCTTTTTATTTTTCACACAGGCCGGCCCTTTTCTCTTCGGCCCGGCCCGCGCATTGTTCAACCTTCCCCCTCCCCAGTCAACACTTTTGAGCGTACGGGGGAGGAGCGGGACGAACAGCCGGAACAGAGGCCAGAACGGAGCAGAAACCAGAGAGGCGTGGGGCATGCCGGCGCGATTTGCGGGTAGGGCGATCAGCCGGCCGCGGCAGGCTGGCGGTGGCAGGGGCCATGCGTGCCTGCCTGCTGGCCGGCTTTTAATCGAGGCCGGAGCGAGAGAGAGAGGGGGATTCGGAGAGTTCCACAGAGAGAGGGATCGGAGAGAGAGAGAGATTGGAGGAAGGGAGGCCGAGAGCATTCGAGAGTGAGATCGCTGGGTGAGGGGGCTCCCACCAGTGACCGCTACACCCCAGCCGTGGCCGGCGAAGCCCCGGTGAACCCCATTCCTCACGATAGGTCCCGGCTAGAGTCCTCGTTGGGCTTGGTCTGTTTTTGCTCGATTCGAGGTGTTTTCCCGAGGATTTCGGCTCGGAGGCGTGCGAGACGACCGGATCTGGTCCGACCTCACACGGTCGCCCCCGTTCGCCGCCACCGAGCGGGATAGGGAGTGCCGCAAATGGCCACCTCTCGCTCCCCTGTTCCGGTCTGTGTACTTTGTTTTTTTGGGGCTCATTGGCCGGAGCTCGCGGCCGTCCGGCTCGCGCGAGTTCTGGCCCGTGACACCTCGAGCTCAATCCTGCTTGTCTGTGCATTGTTGTGTGTGAATCTCGGATGCGTTTGAGCCTTGATCGAACCAAAAATCTCACGTTTTTTGTCACACACTCCAACCGTTTGATGTTATGCATGTGTGAAATCCGATTACTCTCCCTTTGTGTATGATGTGTTCTAGAGTCGCGGAGTCTCTCTCTTCGTTTGTGGTGTCTCGGGTGCGTCGCTGAGTATGGGGAGAATCTTAGTCGTCAGCTGGTGTCTCGGGTGGCTGTGGAGGCTCGCGGTTTGGGCGGCGGTCCGGGCGTGACCGCGGGAGGAAATGGAAAGCTGATCCCTTGCCAAGATTTGGCTGGTCCGTGACTGGCTAGTCCCTCGTTGGGGCTTGGACGGTCTTGGTCGGTCGCCAGTCGCCGTGGCGGCGACGCGGCTGGTCGGGTTGGCAGTCAGCGGTCGAGCACGGGCCCGGCCGCAAGGCTGAGTTTCCTGGCCACGTCAGTCGGGGCTCGGCGGGTGGCGACCGAGCATAGGCTCGGCCGCCGGACCGGAAACCCTGACCCCGGAGGCCAGGGTCCAACGGGCGGTGGCTGGACACGATCTCGGCCATGAAGGCCGAACAGGCGCTCCGCGACGGAGCGACAGTCGGGTCGGGCGTTTAGGGGCAGACAAGTGGGTCGCGGCCACTAGGGTTTCCAGCAAGTCGGGTCGGCGGCCACGAACTGGGTCGGGCGGACTGGTCGAAACTGGGTAGGGTTTTGTGCTTAGGCTGGCTTTAGGTTTATTATGTTTTAATGGATTTGGGCTCTTCTTGGTTCATTTCATGAATGGGCTGAATTGGTGATTTGGGCTGAAGGCTTATTCAGTCTTTTATTCCTAGTGGGCTGGGCTTGGGTGTTTTTTTTTATTGTTTTATTTGAGTGTTGGGTTTATTCCGAATTGGGCCCTCATGGAGCCCACCTCACGGTGGACCCGGGCCGGCGTGCCCGGGTCAGTCCCGATCCGGGTCGGATGTGGAGATCCGACCCGGATCCAGTTAATATTATTTTATTATTTAAAAAAAATTTTAAAAAAATTAATTAATTTTAAAAAAAAAATTATTTGGACTTTGGAATTGGTTTTTCTTGCCCTATTGTGTGATTAGAGTAATGTTTGATTACACGTTGTTTGGTTCCCGTAATTTAAATTGCGTGTTTAATTTAACATCAAACGTGATTGATCATGCATATTGGGTTTAGGTATTGACGGTTGCTTCCCTTAGCCTGATTAGGGATGGAATTTTGAGACTCCCAGTTAGTGTGAACACGTTAGGTGGTGAATTGAGCAAGATTAGGTACCGAAAGGGCACTAGTTGGTCAATTAGTGTAATCAAGTCCCCGTACTCATTGAATCTCTGGTTCGTAGAAGTAAAGCATTTCTCCCGTGCTTTACTTGGGTGTCTAATTGACCCACCAAAAATCGATTAGTAGCGACTCCTAGATGAAATTGATTTGCATGTTAACAACTTAAACTTAAGTTGCGAATTGGTACGGGCTTGGGAGAGCTCGAGCTAAGTTTAACTTAGTAATCCATTAGCCTAACCCCTTAGGCGGCAGGGCCGGTTCGGGGAGGTAGCGACAGCTTGGCGACTCCGCTGGGGACTTCTTAGTGGACTTAGGCCGTTTATCTTGTTCAAATACATCCCTAGCGTAAATGTTTTTGCCATTGACCCCTTATTTTGCAGGTTTGGGATTTGGGGAATGAATGTTTATTTTTTCAGACGCTTGAAGTATTGTTTGCTTATAAACTGTTGTGCATGCTTTAGATGTTTTAGCACTACACTATTGCACACATAACCATGCTGCCGGACTTGGGCCGCGATAGGACGCTTTAGGATGGTGTTAAGAAAGATACAACCTCAAACGCGAGACTACAATGTAGAGGTTGCCTTTCTTCTCCCCGAAAGTTCTTTCTTGGTGTCGTAAGTGTTTATCCTTGTCCGCGAGACCGCATGACTATAGGATATCTCTTTCGACTGAGTCGGAGTTAAGAGGACCTGACACCAACGCGAGACTACGACGGTTAGATCACCCTCTTAGCTTCACCTTGTTAAACTGTCTAAGATAGAAAGCGAGCCTCACTTTTCATGCGTGTGTCTTTGTGTTTGCCATGGCTCTCGATAAAGTAAGCCTTTATCTCTCCTGTTATGCAATTCATTTATTTCCTTTTGTTGGTCCATGGCAAATTAGGTCGGTCGTTAGTCTCAATTTATATACGATGGGGAGAGCCGATATCCAATTCATTTCCACTCCCAAGAAAGAGCTCATAGGGTGGTGGGATCAGTTGGATCAAAATGGCCAAAGACAGGTCGAGGCAAGGATGGCCGTCTCCTCCCGTTACTCAAGATCAACATCCATTCCGGAGTTATGCAAGCAATACCGCACTTTTGGTGCCCTCAAACAACAACCTTCATATTTGGTGAGTTCGAGCTAACTCCGACCTTGGAAGAATATAGCATTGCCATTGGAATGCCTCTTGGAACCGAGCTTGTCAAGCCACCCATAGGTATAGACCCCATGTCCGAGTTGTCATAATTTTTTAGAGTTAGGGCCGAGGTGGTAAGGAAGGTTGTTAAAGCTAATTGTTACCTATGCCCATTCTCGTTTTTGGCCGAGTGCTTTCAAATCAACCGATAGCTCAAAAGAGTTGGATTTTCATTTTAGCATTTGTCGGGCTCATCATTTTTCCTCATCGTAAGAATGCCATAAATCCTTCAATTGCTTGGGTGGTCAAACACATGTGTGTTGGATTAAACTACGTCAACATGATTTTAGCCGAAACATTTTTGTCCCTTAATCGTTTTAAACAAAACGGAGAAACAGTCATGCGAGCTTCTCCGGAGATTTTGCAAATATGGTTTCTTTCCCACATAAGGGGATTTGGGCACCTTATGCAATTGTTTCAAGTAGATGAGTTTAGACACCCAATACAGAGATTCCAGGTCTTAGAAAAGCATTCCCCTAACAAAGAATATTCCCGTTGGATAAATTTCCTAAAAGACCCCGAACCCAAGGCATTTCTATGGCATGCTAAATGGTTCCAAGTTGAGGAAGCCCGCTTCGCTCACAAGTTTGCTAACCCGATCCCGCTGCTCGGTCTCTCTAGCGCCACTTCCTATTATCTGTACAGGGTGGCCTACCAATACCGAGCTCTTCAAGAGATTCCGCCACCTCTCAAGACGGAGATGTTTCAGGCTCGCTTCACCCGCACGGACTACGACTACTTCGACGAAATCTGTGCCATTGAGATCGCATGGAGCGAATGCCGCCCTGAAAGAATTGTCGTGCCTAAGAAATTGAATGGGGAAGAAGAGATCTACCATGCCTCCACATTCTACATCCGCAATCACCGAATTCCGACCATTCTACGACCGCTGGTCCCGGAAGTGACTGACAAGCCCACCTAGAAAGCGCAAATTGAGCATCTTGAAAAGAGGGTGGAAATGGACAAGACTCTCATCTCAAGGTTAACTCAAGAGAACAAGCGGCTCCGCAAAGCCGTGGGTTCTCCATCGCATATAAAATGAGTTGCCCCGAGAAGCTTGAAACGACACTTTCACTTAATTTGTCATCCTTTTCATGTTTAGGAGGTTATGTTGCTTTTCTAGTTTCAATGTTTAGGGAATTCTGTTATTCTTATGTTCCAGAAGTTTCATGTATTTCCTTAGCTTCAATGTTTAGGTAATTTTTTTTTCTTTCTAATTTCGAGGCTTAGGAATCATTATGTACCTTCTTTGTTTCAATGTCAAGGGAATCTCATTTTCTAATTTCAATTTTCAGGAGTTTTCATTTATCGTCTATAATGTATAAAAACTCCAAAATCTCAATGTTTAGAAAACCTTCTCTTGAGGGACATAAAACGCCTAGATCATTGCCATGGGCCAACTTTCCATATGAATCGTGTGCTCACGTAGGCTCATTTTTCAAGTAATCTCAAATCGTCAAATTGAGCTCATTCAACGCACGAAGAGAGGAATTGAGAGACCAAGAGGCTAGAGAAAGAGATCTTCCGGTGATCGCGGGGTCCACACTGAGTCTGACAGCCCGCCAACTCCCTTTCTCCACCAAGGCAAAGCTAAGGCTTTGAGGCAATCGCTGATTCAGACACGATTAAGGGCCACGCAAATGAATATCGAGGAGCAGAACGCCCGTTTCACCGCTCTCGACGACAAGATCAATGATCTTGCGGCTCAGCTCACTCAATTTGCCAATGATATGAGGGCCGCGTTAGTAGCACCAAATGCTGGTCAAGTCGCACCTCAAGCTGTTCCCTGTTCCTGAGCCCGTAGAAGGACCTGTGAGAAGGAATGTTACTAAGGAAGCATTGGGTTCTACACCTATAGTGGTCGAACTAGACCCCATTTCAGAAGCCGTCACTGCCCATTTGGAGGAAGAACACAACAAAAGGTTCGCGAAGATAGAAGAGAAACTCCGTGCGCTACGAGGATACGAAGAGCACATGATCAAGGATCTGTCTCGATATGCACAGATGAGCTTTCCTGAAAAGTTCAAGATTCCCGATTTCACTAAGTATGATGGGACTGGAAATCCAAAGATCCACTTGAAGTACTATTTGAACAAAATGGCGAGGTATGCCCAGAATGTCCCATTATTGGTTTAGACTTTCCAAGAGAGTTTGACGGGGCCTGCATTGCAATGGTATGTGTTGTCGGAGCCCGAGAAGTTCAAGAAGTGGGAGGAGTTGGCTGAGGCGTTTGTCCTGCAATACAAATACAATACAGAGATAGCCCCCACACGAGAAGTACTGACTCGAACCGAAAAGAAACGAAGTGAGTCTTTCAGAGCCTTTGCTCAAAGATGGCGTACTCTCGCCGCTCAAGTTCGACCCCCGCTCAGCGAAAAGGAGCTACTGGATCTTTTCCTCAAGGGCTTACCTAGTGATTTCTATTTAAAGTTGGTGGGTTATGGATGCTTTACCTTTTCTCAGCTGGTAGATGTCGGGGAGAGGATAGAGGGGGCCATGCATGATGGTAGATTGAGCGAAGGGACTAGTTGAAAGGTCCCGAATAGAAAATAAAAGGATGTGGAGATCGCGTATATACAAGCGCCGGTTGTGACAAGGCCCCCTGCCTCGTCCTCCCAAGGCCCGTCTGTGTTTCGAGAGAGGGCATATCAGAGTTATGAATTCAAAAAGAAGGCACCAAGGCAATTCACTCCTCTGCCTAGACCTTTATCCAAGTTGTTGCCTATGTTGTTGAGAAAGGGAATGATAGCCAAAGAAGTACCTCGGGATAATCCTCCAAAATTCCTTGGGTTTGACTCGTCGAAGTCTTGCGAGTTCCATAAAGGCAAGAAGGGTCATGATGTAGATAACTGCTTCACTCTCAAGAACAAAGTTCAGAATTTACTCGACAATGGCATTTTATCCTTCAAGGATCCACCCCTTAATATCCAACAAAATCCATTGCCTAATCATGCTGAGAATGTCAACGTAGTTACAGAAGGAGGCAATGAGAGTAAGCAAACATTTAATGTGGATGTTCATAGACTTTATAAGTTACTAGTGTCAGCTGGACACTTTGAAGATGGGGAGTGTAACATCCTGAATTTTGACCCGTTACCGGGACCAATGAAGTGTATGTTAATGCTCGTTTGATTTTAGTAAGTCGCGCTCTAAACACAATTTTGGACTTCGGGTATTGACGGGCGATTTTGGGCGAAATCTGTATAAAGTTAGGTGCGGAATTGTATGATTTGGTAGTGGAAATTTTATGGCGGGCATTGGGATTTAATTCGGGCATTAATTATTGAAAATTAGAAAATAACAGTGGCTGTGATCTACTGTTCATGGGGCACCGAATTTGTGTAAATTTGTCCAAGTGTGGCACTAGTTGGATTCAATGGTAAGTGACCTTGATTGGGGCATTGTAGGGATTAATTAAGCTTATTTGAGGCTTAATTATGTATATTTGGTGGTTGAATTATTAGGGTATGTGATTAAGGTTTAATGGAATTGTTTAAGTGTGATATAGTGCATATTGGACATTCGGTTCTGGTACTGTTCACCAGAAACGAATTGCACTTTTTGGACTTAAGTTGAGACTTAATTGGTTCATTGGATATCGGTTTGAGTCTTGGGTATTATTGGGGTTTGGTTGGGATTTAAATAAACCCTATTAGATGACCCCCTTGATCGTAAGATCATCTATCGGAATTGATTTGTCCAAGTCGGGCCCGAGGTGCATGAAATTATCTTGGAAACAAATGCGTGGATTAAATGTTAAAATGGTTGAATTACATTGGGAATAATTTGATCGTGTTGAGAGGGTGATAGATACATTGACTTGGGGAATAATTGTATTCGGCATGTCGCCTTGGGTATTGGCATGAATTCTCGAGTGTATAAATTGTATGCCAGGTTGTGATTGATTTGAAATTAAGTGTAATAATGTGCATGCCTGAGCTTTGTTCAAAATGTGGCCTTCGGGTCGGGCCTACGGGTCGTTATATTCAATTGTTGGCCTTCGGGTCGGGCCTACGGGTCGTCTTATTAACTGTGGCCTTCGGGTCGGGCCTACGGGTCGTTATATTCAATTGTTGGCCTTCGGGTCGGGCCTACGGGTCGTTATATTCAATTGTTGGCCTTCGAGTCGGGCCTACAGGTCGTCTTATTAACTGTGGCCTTCGGGTCGGGCCTACGGGTCGTTATATTCAATTGTTGGCCTTCGGGTCGGGCCTACGGGTCGTCTTATTAACTGTGGCCTTCGGGTCGGGCCTACGGGTCGTTATATCCAATTGTGACCTTCGGGTCGGGCCTACGGGTCGATTTATCAAACTGTTGACCTTCGGGTCGGGCCTACGGGTCGCTTTATTTAATTGTGGCCTTCGGGTCGGGCCTATGGGTCGCTTTATTCAACTGTTGGCCTTCGGGTCGAGCCTACGGGTCGTTATATTCAACCGTTGGCCTTCGGGTCGAGCTTACGGGTTGTTATAATCACTTGTGGCCTTCGGGTCGGGCCTACGGGTCGTTATAATCACTTGTGACCTTCGGGTCGGGCCTACGGGTCGTTTTATTAATTGTGGCCTTCGGGTCGGTATAATTGCACATGAGTTAAAGTGATGTCAAATGCCTAACCTGCAGGGCTATGAGACAATATATTGGGCTGTGAGCTCGGGTGAATTAATTTGTTTTACTGGTTCATTGTTTGATGTATTTTATTTACCCTTCTGGAGGTGCACATTAGCCTACTTTAGGATTAGTGGTTTGTACTTGCTGAGATTTCTCACGGTTGTGGTAAAACCGACATTTTCAGATCCCCGCCCAGGAATTTTGAGGCTATGAGTTCAGAGGAGGAGCCAGAGCAGTCCGAGGGTTCTTCCGAGACGTCTGGATCTGACCTCGATTGGATACCCTAGGGCAGACCTCAGTTTTAGGAGTGAGGGCCGATATTTTTTTGACTGTAGCCCTCTAGTGATTAGCCAATCCCCTTAGGCCACCGATCCCTTTTTGTACTCGTGGCCCTTTTTGTTGTATCTCCTGTTTAAAAATGGATATTGTATATAAGTCTTATAATGAATGTATATATTGTTTTAATAGTTCGTAATTTGTTATCTCTTGCTATTCCTGGTTGCTTTTAAATTGTCTGGGTGTATATATATTATATATACGTCATTTTCGCATGTGTTGTGTTTTCTCTTATTTGGGTTTTCGGGTCGGTGACGTAACCTGGGAGCGTCGCACCACATTTCGACCTATACGCGGATGTTCATGCTTCGTAGGGTACGGGGCGTGACAGGGAGGATATTCCAATGGAAGAGAAATTGAAATGTATCACTCGGATGGTGGACATGGGAGTAATCTATAGCATGAAGGAAGATAGTAAGAAGGCCATGACGGCCGTTATTGACTCATTTTGTGAGAATGAGTCGGAGGAGACGCCTGTTGAGCCTACAGAAACTAACGAGCCAACTAATGATGGCGTGTCGGAGAGCCTAATTGTGACCGACAGTGAAGGAGAGAATTCGTATGAAGATCTTGAGCATCAAACTAACAATGTCAATGGAACCATGAGTTTATAAAGCTCGCTCACGAGAATGGGGAAGTGGTTGACACACTGGGTCAACCTAACGGCAAATTCGACTATCTTGTGAAGTATTCACCGTCACCGAGCTTTTTCATCGATCCCAAAGATGTTGTTCCTGATGGATGGGGAGGTATGGACGATCCACTTGAGTCCGAGGAGGAGATGGTCAACATGATCACCCCGTGGTCATCGACCTATCAGTCGAAGAAGATCTATCAGATCCCGATGAATGAGATGTTGAGCATGTAGTCATTGATCTTATGTCTGAAGAGTTTGCTACTCTAGAAATCAAGGATTATGCTGTGGAACCAATGGGGATTGAACTCCCACCCGAGGACGAAGAAGACATAATAGTGGAAATGGCCTCTAATTACGA